GTTTGCAGATGACATGATTGTATATTTTGAAAACCCCATCGTCTCAGCCCAAAATCTCCTAAAGCTGATAAGCAACTTCAGCAAAGTCTCAGGATACAAAATGAAGGTGCAAAAATTGCAGGCATTCTTATACACCAATAACAGACAAACAGAGAGCCAAATCATGAGTGAATTCCCATTCACAATGGCTTCAAAGAGAATGAAATACCTAGGAATCCAACTTACAAGGGATGTGAAGGACCTCTTCAATGAGAGCTACAAACCACTGCTCAATGGAATAAAAGACGACACAAACAAATGGAAGAACATGCCATGCTCGCATATAAGAAGAATCAATATCGTGAAAATGGCCATACCGCCCAAGGTAATTTATAGATTCAATACCATCCCCATTAAGCTACCAATGACTTTCTTCTCACAGAACTAGAAAGAACTACTTTAAAGTTCATATGGAACCAAAAAAGAGCCTGCATTGCCAAGACAATCCTAAGCCAAAAAAACAAAGCTGGAGGCATCACGCTACCTGATTTCAAACTATACTACAAGGCTACAGTAACCAAAACATCATGGTACTGACACCAAAACAGAGATATAGACCAATGGAACAGAACAGAGGCCTCAGAAGTAATACCACACATCTACAACCATCTGTTCTTTGACAAACCTGACAAAAACAAGAAATAGTGAAAGGATTCCCTATTTAATTAATGGTGCTAGGAAAACTGGCTAGCCATATGTAGAAAGTTGAAACTGGATCCCTTCCTTACACCTTGTACAAAAATTAATTCAACATGAATTAGAGACTTAAGTGTTAGATCAAAGCCATAAAAACCCTAGAAGAAAACCTGGGCAACACCAATCAGCACATAGGCATAGGTAGGGACTTCATGTTTAAAACACCAAAAGCAATGGCAAGAAAAGTCAAAATTGACAAATTGGATCTAATTAAACCGAAAAGCCTCTGCACAGCAAAAGAAGAACTTACCAAGCAAGCAGACAGACGAGCGAGGCGCGAATGGGGAAAATTTGTTGTGCGCCAGTCTACTCATCTGAGAAAAGGGACGAGATATGCAGAACCTACAAATAACTTCAAAAAAAATTTTAGGAGAAAAAAAACAACCACCTCATCAAAAAGTGGGCAAAGAAGTAGGAACAGAGCAGTTCTCAAAAGAGCACATTTATGCAGCCGGCAGGCACAGAGAAAGAGGAGTTAGAGCCGCCTTCATCGATTATCACCGCGAGAGAAATTGCAAATCAAATCCACAAGAGATACAGTTCTCACAGCGCAGTTGAGAATTGGCGATTATTAAAAAAAGTTCAGAAGAACAAAACGCAGGTGCTCGGCGAGGTGATGGTGGAGGTAAAGTAGAAACAACTTTTTATACTGTTGTGACTGTAAAAACTAGTTCACCATTTGTTGGAAGACGAATGTGGGGCCAAGTTACTCTAAAGAATCTAGAAACTAGAATACCCATTTTGACCCAAGCCATCCCATTACTGAGGTATGATAGCCTCAAAGAGCTCACTACAATCATGGCTTGCTAATAAAGCACACATGCACGAGGTATGTTTATTTGTGGCACTACTTCACAATAAACAAAAGACTTGGAGTAGCCACCCGCAAAAAGTGTCATCAATGACAGACGATTAGAAAATGTGGCTGGCAGGTGCGCTCAAGGCCGTGTGAATCCCAGCAGTTTTGGGCAGCGCATTGGAATGGGGTGGATCACCGAGTCAGGCAGATCTGCAGACCATTCCGGCTAACAGTGGTGAGAACGCCCGCCGGGTCTACTAAAAAGAATTACAAACAAGACTTAGCTGGGCGAGAGTGGCGGGGCCGCGACCTGTAGTCGCCCAGCTACTCGGCGAGGCTGAGCAGCGAGAATGCGTGAACCCGGAGGCAGAGCTTTGGCAGGGCAGCCTGAGATCCCTCTCACTTGCACTCCAGCCTGGGCCAACAGAGTGAGACTCAGCTCTCAAAAAGAAAAAAAAAGAAAAGTGTGGCCACAAATGCCTACAACCATGAATACCATGCAGCATTAAAAAGGATGAGCTTCATGTCGTTCTGTGTAGGGTCCAGATGCAGCTGGAAAAGCGTGATTCTCCAGCAAAGTATCAGCGAAGAACAGAAAAAGCGCAAAACACGCATGTTCTCAGCTCATAGGAAACTTGAACAATGACGCAAACACTGGAACAGCTTGGGAATCAAGCACACACTGGGGCCTTCCATGGGGGGAAGGAGGGGAGGGATAGCATTAGGAGATCGGATACCTAAGGTAAAAGACGAGTTAGATGAGTGAACACACCAAGCGAGGCACGAGCCGCTGATACATAGTGTAACAAATCTGGCCTGTGGTACACATGTAACCTAGAACTTAAAGTATAATAAAAATAAATAAAAATAATTTTTCTTATTATATTTATATTTTATTTTAAAGCATTTTGTTGACATATAAAAATATATTTTCATGTTTGACAATATGCTGTTTTGCTATATTTATACTACAGTGATAACTAGTGTCAAATTAATTAGCACATTATTCATCACCTATGCTTGCCATTGGGTGCAGGTGGGTGTGTGCGTATGTGTGTGTGTGTTTGTGGTGAGGACATTTAAAATCTGCTTTCTTACCAATTTTCAAATAAACAATACAATAGTATTAGCTATAAATATCACTAGATCTCTGTGTTTAATTCCAAGTTCTTATTCATATTATAGCAGAAAGTTTGTATTCTTTGACCAATATCTTAATCAAACAAAAGCAGCAATGATAAGTTCTAAAATACAAGGATCCTAAAATGACAACTGAGGTAATGAATCTTCGATAATACACCTCTAATTCTCAAGCATTAAACATAGAACTTCATTTTCACATCGATTACCATTTTAACTTTATTTAAATCAATATGATGTTTTTACATAGTCAGTTTGGATAGTATTTTGAGAAATAATTCCTCAACCATCCTGACTACTTGAAAACCTGAAAGTCTATGAAGATTTGCATACTACTTAATGTTTTATGTTTACTGTTTTCCATTTCAGATGCGTGTGTAATATCCCCAGAAGTTATGGAAAAATATAACATAACATTGAGATGGAAAGCCAAAGAGAAACTTTATTCGAGAACTGGTGAACCAGTTGAATTTGTGTGTAGATCTGGATATCATCTTTCATCAAACTCTCACCCATTGCGAACAACATGTCAGGATGGGAAACTGGAGTATCCAACTTGTGTAAAAAGACGTCATTGATCATAAAATGCACACCTTTATTCAGAACTTTAGTATTAAATCAGTTCTCAATTTCATTTTTTAAGTATTGTTTTACTCCTTTTTATTCATTAGTACATTTTCGGGTTAATTTGTGTAAATGTAATTATAATCTGAGACCGGTGGCTCTTATCTTTAAAGCACCATATTAAAACTTGGAAAACTAACTGTTGTGTCTAGTTCATAAAATTTTTGTGGCAAGAAATTAGATGCAATTTTTCCGACTTTGTTTCTGTTCATCACTCTTAAATCTCTCAAAGCTTCCTTCATAGCTTCTGAGGCTCATTATTTTACTGTAAATGGAAAATATATCATTGCCTCTCATTTCCAAATTATATCACTTTACAAAGAGGTAAAAACCAAGTCAAGTCTCAACTCATGTTGGTAATAAAATAAAAGTAATTACTATTTATCAATACATAAATTCACCAAAACTGATGAAATGTAGATACTTCTATAAGATGTCAATCTAGCACACATAATAATGCAAACTAATCATAAAGAGGAATTAAAATGTAATTGGGTATATGAATATTATGACATAAACATACAAAAAATAAAAATACAGTATCAGTTATAACATACTTGTGTGCACTCACCTGCAAACACGGAAACACAATACTTTTGCCCTGAATTAATGTTTTAGAAAAAATATTGCCAGTAAATTTAAAACTATAGATAAACGTGTGTGTGTGTGTGTGTATATATATATATGTGTGTGTTTGTGTATATACATATATATGTGTGTGTGTGTGTGTGTTTAGAGATAGTAGGGGTAAAAGTTATGGTTTAATTCCTTTGTATATATCAGCATTCTCTGAATTTTCTACTTTTAACATATATCAGTTTTGAAACAAAAGCACAATTTATTTTAAAATAATGAATCTAACAAGCAAGGCTGTGCATGTTGAGAATGATAAAGATGTCATCGGTAATGATCTTAACATCAAATAGCCTCAACTATATTTGGAGTAGAAGAGTTTTGAGTTTTGGAAATTTCAGTAATAAGGTTCTGAAATGTAGTTTTTATATTCATTCATTTTAATCAGCACTAGTTAGGTAAAATCATTTTTGACTAGGAACATTTTAAACTCATAAAGGAGGTGAAGCCATTATATGAAAAGTAAAGATATCAAAAATACGACACAAATATGATTTAATGCTACCTTATTACATCTTATTGTATAAAATCAGGTGGCTTATATACTTAGGCTGTCCCCTTGTTAGTGATCCTGATTTAGATAAATTACTTGAGCTGAGGAAAGCCAGATTTCAAAAATCTCAAGGCCATTTGTTATAATTAGCAAGTTATGTTGACAGCAATGTTAACACTTAGGAATATACATTTATTCCTAAATTGTTTTAGTACATTTGGGCCACTTTAAGAAATTACCATAAACTGGCTAATTTATAAAAACTAGAAATTTATTTCATATAGTTTTAGAGGCTGAGATTTTCAAGCTTAAGATGCCAACTGATTTGATGTCTTGTAAGGGCTTGCTTCCTGTTTACTGGTGCCTTCCCGCTATGGTGCCTTCCCACTCTGTCCTTACAATGTGGAAAGGGCAGGGGAGTTCCATGACTCTTCTTTGTAAAAAGACTAATCCAGTCTCTGAGGGTGGAATCCTCATGACCTAATCACCTAAAAAGGACTCACTTTCTGATACTATCACCATAGTGATGAGGATGTAACATACAAATTTTGAAGGGGCACTACCATGCAGACCATAGCACGGCATAGGGATAAACAAATAAGTTCCACGTAAATGGAAACCAAAAGAAAGCAGGGTGGCTATACAAACATTAACTAAAATCAAATTTTAAGTCAAACCTGTAAAAAGAAACAAGGAAGGTCATTATATAGTAATAAAGGAGTCAATTCACAAATAGATTATAGCTATTGCAAGTATATACGCACTCAACATGGGAGCAATGAAACCTATAAAGCAAACATTAATACATCTAAAGGAAGAAATAGACAACAATGAAATAATAGTAGGGGACTTCAATACCCCACGTTCAACAATGGATAGACAGTCTATACAGAAATCAATAAAAAGTTGTACTTGAACTATATGTTAGAACAAATGGACCTATCAGACCTACATAGAACATTCCATTTGACAACAGTAGAATAAACATTCTTCTCAAGTACACAAGGTATCATCTTCAATATAGATCTTATGTTGGGCCACAAAACAAGTCTTAAACATTTTTAAAAAGATTGAAATTACATACAAATTTTTTAAGCTTTGTGATATGAAACTAGAAAACCACAGCAGAAGAAATGTTAGGAAATTTACAAATACATGGAAATTAAACAACATGATCCTGAACAACCAATGGAGAAATGAAGAAATTCAAAGTGAAATTTAAAAATATCTTGAGACAAACAAAAATGGAAAAGCAACATACTAAAAAGCATATGGTATGCAACAAAAGCAGCTTAAAGGGAGGTTTAGAGACATGAATGACTCCATGAAGATCCCAATAAAGCAAGTAACTTTGTATGTCTGGAAACTAGAAAATGAAAAAAAAATTAACCCAAAGGTGGTGGGAAAAACAAAAAAAAAAAAAAAAAAAAAAAAAAAATAAGGTAAAAAAAAAAAAAAAAAAAAAAAAAGCAGTCTGGAAAAATAATAGTGAGGATCCACAAAACTTGAAGTTGGCTTTTAAAAACATAAATGAGATTGACAAAACTTTAGCTGAACTAAAACAAAGAGAAGGAACAAACAAATAAACTTATAAATGAAAGAGGAAACATTGTAACTGATAACACAGAAATACCAAAAATCAGAAGAGACCACCATGAACAGTTATATGCCAACAATAACTGTTGGATAACCTAGTGGAAACAGACACATTCGTAGCCACCCACAACCCACTAAGATTACTGAAACATAAAGAAATACAAAATTAATACAGAACAGTAATGAGTAAGAAAAATGAACAAGTAATAAAAAGTCTATCAAAAAAAAAGAGAGAAAAAAAACTAGTGGCTTCACGATGGATGGAATCCTAGCAAACATTTAAAGAATCAACACTAATCCTTCTCAAATTCTGTCAAGAAATTTAAGAGTGAACTCTCAATTTTATTATATGAGGTTGAAATCACACTGACACCAAAGCCACACATGAATACTACAAAAAAATTATAGGTCAATATTCTTCATGAATATAGAGACAAAAATGCTCAACAAAACACTTACAAAGTGAACACAACACACTAAAAGGATCATTCACCATAATGAAAGGGGGTGTATATCTGGGATGTAAAGATAGTACACATACACCAATCAATTACTGTTCCACACCAAACTAAAAGAATGAAACACAGAAGTTGTATATTCATCTCAATAGATAAAGAAAAGATATTTAACAAAAATCAACACCCTTTCATGATAAAAAGTCTCAACAAAATAGGCAGAAAAGAAATTACCCCAAGATAATAAAGGCTATATATCACAAGCTCACCATATATCACAAGTTCACATTTAAAATTATATTCAAGAGTGAAAAGTTGAAACATTTTTCTCTATGATCAGAAAAAAAAGAAAAACAAAACAAAACAAAAAAAAACAAAAAGGCTCACTCTCACCACTTCTGTTCAACATAGTGCTGGAAATTCCAGCTAGAGCTATTAGGCCTGGAAATTGGATAAGAAGACAGTTTCTGTTTGCAGATGACATGATCTCATTATAGATACACAGAAAACCCAAGGACTCACCAAACCTTGCTAAAACTAATAACCAATTCAATAAAGTTGCAGTGTACAAAATCTACAGACAGAGCCGATTACATTTCTATACACTAACAGCAAACTATTGAAATAAGAAATTGAAAAAAAAAAATTAAATTTACCATAGCATCAAAAATAATAAAATACTTGAGACTAAATCAAAGCAAGGAGATTAGAGTCCTGTACTCTGAAAACTAGAAAATAATGATGAAAGATATTGAAGAAAACACAAATAAATGAAAAGATGTCCTGTCTTCAAGGATCGAAATAATCAATATTATAAAATTGTCTTCAATACTTAAACCTCTAGATTCCATGCAATATTGTCAATACTCTAAACACATCTTTCACAGAAACTGAAAAATAAATTAAAATAATATACAACAAGGGACACCAAATAGCTAAAGCATCCTTACAAGAGAAAAAAGCTAGAGACAGCACACTATCATGCTCTCTGGTTTCAAATTACACTACGAATCTATAATAATCAGAACAGTTTAGTCCTGATACAAAAAAGATACATAGACAGAATTAAAAGCTCCTAAACAAACTCATGCATATATAAAGGTACTTGAAAATATTCATGGAAAATTGAGTTAAAATAAGAAAATTTTAAAAACACAGTTTATTTCTTAACATAAGCTCCATCAAGTTCAACACACTTTTGTAAACAGTGATACAAGCCATTTAGTCTATCCCTAAAAAATCGATAGTTCTGGGTATATAGCCATGTTAAGCAGTCTTTTTTACATAATTAACTGAAACAGTGGGTACACTTTGTAAGATTTTTTAAAATTAGGCGCAAGACAAAAGTCAGGAGAAAGCAAATCAGGACTGTAATATAGGAATGCTCAATGATTTCCCATAAAAATCCTCACAAAACTGCTTTCGTTTGATGAGAGGAAGGGGCAGGAGTATTGTTCTGGTGGAGGAGGACTCTCTGATGAAGTTTTCCTGGGCATTTTTCTGCTAAAGCTTTGAAAACTTTCTCAAAACATTCTCTTAAGAAGTATATGTTATTCTTTGGCCTTCCAGAAACTCAACTAGTGAAATGCCTTGGCCATCTCACAGACTGTTGCCCTGATGTTTTCTCCTGACTGTTCTGCTTTTGTTTTCATTGGACCACTTCCACCTTTGCTGTGTCATTGCTTCGATTATGCTTGGTATTCAGGATCATACTGACAAACCCATGTTTCAGCTCTTGTTACAAATCTTTGAAGAAATGTTTCAGGTTCTTATTCCCACTTGTTTAATACACTTTCCATTAAAAACTGTTCTCTTGTTGGCCAGGTGCCGTGGCTTATGCCTGTAATCCCAGCACTTTGGGAGGCGGAAGCACAGGGTGAAACCCCATCTCTACCAAAAATAAAAAAATTATCCAGGTGAGGTGGCGGGTGCCTGAAGTCCCAGCTACTGGAGAGGCTGAGG